AATTTTACTGCAGCCACCAAGAACTTAAGGTCTGTAGCCTAGGGCTGGAATTCCAAATTACCCCAGTGGGGTTCAGCTGAATAGGAAGAAGTAGAGGGGTTCAAAGAACATGAATCTGTTCAGATGATTTTCTCTCAACTGCATTCTCCTTTCTTTCACCAGGTAAGAAAGGAAGCCTGAAGGTGAATTTATTTCTGTGTTTTAGTGGAAACAGCCAGGTGTAGGCTACTCTTCATTTAACAGAACTTCAGTGAAAACTGAAATAAAATTATAATACCTAACAACAGAGAATGGGAAATTACTTTGCTCTCGTCTCTCCCACACTGTCCATCTCCCTTCGATAAAAGATTATCCATAATCTCAACACTGCCACTTCCTGAGAACGATTCAATACTGAAAGTGCAAAGAAGGCACAATATCCCCGGTCCTCTCTGTCCGAGGACCTGCAGGCCGACTACCCATGCTTTCCAGAATGTGCTTCGATTTTTCTTTTGTGAGCTGCAGCATAGAATGTTTACTAAAGGTTTTTTAAAAAACAGAATCTCACCAAACAGTTGAGAAAAATATTTAACAACGCAGGCAAAGCAATTACAGTTGAATTTTCACCTCGACATTCTCATCGTAGGTGTGGGAGGGAGAGGGAAGACTCAGCACATCAGTTTGAACCTAGAGGGAGGATGGAAAGAGTTGATCCTGCTGAGAGCTGTCAATATGTCCATCTCTTTGACCCTCAGCTGCTGAGCTAGCTGCCCACCTGAGGGTACCACAAGAACAGCACCACTGTCTGCCTACGGTTGGCCAAGTTTCCAAGTGTTAGGAGAGGCTGGAATGGACATCAACACCACGTTGGAAAGGTCTGACCGTGATGCAATGCGAGAAGTCCAGGAGTAGAACTCCAGATAAACATGTAAGCTTGGGAGGGAATGAACCATACCATCTTTTGTCCCCAACTTCTACCCTGTTATCCAACCAATTTACATTTTTAAAAGTAGGTTTTTTCTTCATTGTGACTCAATGCAGACACAGCATTATCTCCTTTAGCATACAGATTTTGTGGGGGCAATGAATCAGGCATGACTTCCTCTGTCAGAATGGGTAACAATGGTTAGGTCTATCCACTCCTCTCCTAAGAAGGTCTCATCCAGGCTGGTTCAATGAGAGAGCAGGCAAGGAAAGACACTTCAGAGTAAAATGACAAAATCCAAGCTAGGTGTGGACGTTAAGCATCGTCGTCAGCTGCCATTTAGTATACAAATGCATTACCTGATACAGGTGAAAGGTACACACATCACAGAGGCTTCGCACACCTTACCTGGGCCATCTGCCTCTCCAGTTTTGATCGGGGAATATCATCAAAGTAGTTTTCATTTCTTCTCCTCCTTGCATCGCCCTGCATGATAATGTGAGGAACGTCTAGGGAGCCACCAGTGGTGTAAGTGCTTTGGCTAAGTGATGGAGACAACTGAGGAGGAGTGTGATTACCACTGGGTTCCTGAATGGAAATACATCATGAAATAAATACCATGCTCTTGTGGCTAATCTCCGGTTTCACAATTGTGAAATACCAACAAGACAGACCGTGGAGCGGGGGAGGTGATTTTGAACCAAAATGCCAAGGAATGGACCACATTCCACCATTTATTCCAGGAATGGTTCCGTCCACTACTTCTCCCCACCGAGCACTTCAGGTCACAAGGTTAAAGGGTAAAGAACCAAGCTCTGTTTTCTTAAACCCGATCTCAGGAGCGAGGCACACCTCTGTTGCACACCCTGGACACTAGCGTGTGTGTTTACGCGGGAAGGGACTATGAGCAGTTGCGCCCTCACCGCGGCAGGTGCCAAGATGAGAAGCCAACACGGACCCACTGGG